TTTTTTTTTTTTTTTTTTTTTTTTTTTTTTTTTTTTTGTTATTTTTTTTTTTGAGAAGGGGCTGGGGGTATCTGTACATGAAATGGATAGGTATTGAATCTCTGGGGATTGTTGTATTTTTGGCATGTTGTATGACGCTGTCTTTTGGATTGCATGATCTCTTTCTTTCGCTTGTTCTCTCTCTTTGTGTTTTCCCTTTTTCCCCTTCTCTTGCTCTTCCTTTTTTATGTTTCCTCTCTCTGATTTTTTTCTGTCTGTCTCACTCTCTCTTTGTCTCTTCCCCACCTCTCTCATCTCTCTCTCTCTCTCTCTCTTCTTTCTCCTCTCTCCCATCTCGTTCCCCTTTCACTTCCGTCCCTCCTCTCGTTTCCTCCTTCCCTCGTTGTTCTCCTTCTCCTCTGGACTCAACTTCTCCATCCCTCCTCATCTTCCTCTTTAGCTTTCCCTTTTTCCGTTTGTAGTCCTCCATCACCTGAAACAGTAAAGGTATGCACAAGGAGATAATGTCTCATGCAGTGCTCCTGATCATGACAATTTAAAGGTAAACAGATGTAAAGGACAGGCAATGTAAAAGTAGAACAATTAAAAGTAACAATTAAAAGTTAAGCAATTAAAAGTAAAAAATTAACGAAGTAAATTGTAGCAGGCGTGCTATGGGTCTAACACGAGTTTTATCTTTTCCTTGTGTTAAATACGACTAATTTCTCTCCCTTTCTTTATCAAAGGTCACCTTTTCGTCCAAAATGAAGAGAACCAAACGAGGAGAGGAGAAAGAGAGAGAGAGAGAGAGAGGAGAGAGAGAGAGAGAGAGAAGAGAGAGAGAGAGAAGAAGAGGAGAGGGGGGGACAATCAAACACTTTATAAACATAACACACACCAAGTAAAGTAGGCATGCCCTACACAATACCCCAATCACACATCCCAACACACTACATAACACCACCTTACACATACACGTCTCCTAAACAACACAACTTACACATAACCTCCTAAACACATCCAACAACCACATACCCATTGATACATGAATCCACACTTAACTTACGCCACACAACAACACATCACCAAACATGTCAAAGTCCATTTCTAACCACCAAACACACACACACAATAGATGGTCACACATCTTCCAAACCACACAAGACAACATCTTGTGAACACAAGAACCATCCCCGAAACACCCGCACATCCATTCTCAACCCAGAACACTACACAACACCCACAGAAGGGGATCTTAGTTGCAACACATCTCCAGAAACAGACAGACACACACATCCCAGAAACAACATCAGCCATTCCGAACCAAACACACAACACACCAGCTACAACAGCACACATTGTGTTCATACAGCTATTATTCTGAGATGTATGGTGTCGGCAACATCTCCAAACACACAGAACACAACGACCATTGATATACACGTGACAATCCATCTCTCAAACTCCAAACACACACAACACACACGCACAGACATCTCCAACGCACCACAGACACACACATCACGTGACAACAACGCAACATCGTCCATTCTCAACCTGACCCCAACCACACACCATCCACAGCACACTGCGATGCCAACATTCACATCTCCAAACCACCATCACACACACGCATCCCGAAACAACGCACATAAGCCATCTCCCAAAACCTAAATAGACAAGACACCATCACAACGCGCAAGACACACACACACACACACATCTCCAAACCACACAGACACACACATTACCGAAAGCACGGCACATCACATTCCCAACTCCAACACCACGACACTCCACACCCCACACACAACCGCACAACAAGTTGGGGGTTTTGCAAGTGCAACAGCATCTCCAAAACACATCAGACAAGCGAATCAACATCCGAAAAACACGCAACATCCATTCCCAACCCAAAACACACACCACACACGCAGCACACACACAACGTATCTTTGTGTACATTGACTAAGTAGTCCTTCACACACATTCCAAGCAAATTACAGAACAACACATCCCGGAAACCTCACGCACATCCATCCCAACACAAACACACATTGCACAACATTATGACTTCGGTGTCGCAGAGGCAGACATCACATCTCCAACCAACGACACAACATCCCGAACAGCGCATCTTCCCTAACAACAACACGACCGCAAGCTCACACAACACAACCACACGACGGAGGCTGCTTGTGCATATTAATGATTGCCACGAGATGTATCGGTCCTTGGGAGATTAAGTGTTTTTCACCGGAAAATGTTTTATCTGGAGCCAAGACGTATATGGTGAGGCAAAGATTCGATTGTGCGTCGGCGGGGAGAGAGGAGGCAGGAGGAGAGGAAGAGGAGGAGGAGGAGAAAGATAGGGAAGAGGAGGGAAGGGAGAAAGAGGAGGAGGATGAGAAGGAGGAGGAAAAAAGAGGAGGAGAGGAGGAGAAAGAAGGGGCTTAAGAGGAGGAAGGAGGAAGAAAGATAGGGAAGAGGAGGAGGGAGAAAGGAGAGGAGGAGAGAAAGGAGGAGGAAAAAAGAGAGGAGGAAGAAGAGGAGAAGAGGAGGAGGAGGGAAAAGAGGGTTTAAGAGGAGGAGGAGGGAGAAAGAGAGAGAGGGAAGAAGGAGGAGGGAGAGAGAAGAGGAGGAAGGAAAAAATGAGGGGGGAAGCTGGGAAGAAAAGGAAGAGGAGGAGAAGAAAGACAGGTAAGCAGGAGGAGAAAGAGAGGTAAGAGGAGGAGAAGAAAGAGGTAAGCGAGGAGGGAATGGAGAGAAAGAAAAGGACGGGAAGAGGAGAAAAGAGGAGAGGTGAAGGAAATAGAGAGGGTAAGAAGGAGCGGAAGAGAAGAGGGGTGTGAGAGAGAGAAATAGGGGGAGGAGGAGAAGAAGGATCAGGAAAAAAGGGAAGGGGGATAAATGAAAGGAAGAAAAAACAGGAGCAGGAAAAAGAGAGAGGGGGAAGAGGAGGAGGAGAGAAAGAGTGAGGAAGAGGAAGAAGAGAAAGAGTGGAGGAAGAAGTGAGAGGGAGAAGAGGGGAGGAAGAGAAAGAGGGAGAGAGGAGAAAGAGAGTAGAGGGAAGGAAGAGAGAAGACGGGGAAGAGAGGAGGAGAAGAAATGAGAAGAGGAGAAAGAGCGGAAAGAGGAGAAAGAAAAAGGGAAAAGGGGAGGAGGAAAGAAAAAGGGGGGAATGAGGAGGAGGAGAGAAAGGGGGGGAGAAGAAGAGAGGAAGAGGAATAGAAGAAAAGGAAAAGGAGGAATGTGAAGAAGGAAGCAAGAGGAAAGAGAAAGAGGGGAACGAGGAAGACAGAAAAGATATTATGGAAGGGAAGAACGGGATGTGTTTAGAGGGTATGGATAAGGAAAGTGAAGAAGAAGAGGAGGAGGAAAGAGAAGAAGTGGAGAAAGAAGGGGGAAAATAGAGGAAAAAATGGTAAGGGGATGCAGGTGAGGACGGGGAGGAGGAGTGGAGAGGAAGAAGACATGGCAGATGGGAGATAGGAGGATGGGGGGAAAAAGGAGGAATTTGATGAAAGGATATGAAGGAAGGAAGGTGTGGAAGAGATAGGGTTGGAGAAGGAGAGGAGGAGAGAAAATGAGGAAGAATAGAGGAGAAGGAGAGAGAAGAAGAAGGACGGACGATTAAGGGCAGAGGATCGGATGGGATGAGGAGGAAAAGTAAATAAGAGAGAAGGGAAAGAAAAAGGAGGATTAGGAAGAAGAGGAGACATCGGAAGAAAGGAAGAGGCAAAGAAGCGGAGAGAAGTGAGAGGAGGAGGAAGAGGAAAATTAAAGAAAAAAGGAGACAAATAAGAAAAAAGAATTAGAGGAGAATAGAAGAAGAAATAAATAGAAGAATTACAAAGAGAGGAAGAAAGACTGAGAAAGCGGATTAAAAGGAGGAAGAAGAAGGAGAAAAGGAAGACTAAGATGACTGAAGAATAAAGGACGAAGAATGAATAAGACGTAGAGAGGAGATGAGAAGGAGGATGAGTTGAGTCTAAGAAACAGAGAAGCAAGCGGGAAGAATTAAGTAAGGAGAAGAAAGACAGAGGAAATGGAGAGACGAGAGACGGAGTAGGTACATGTAAGAAACAAAAGAAAAAGAAAATGGGATAAATGAAGAAGAACGAGAAACGGAAAAGAACGACAGAAACTAAGATAAAAGAAGAAATTAAAAAAAAGCAGAGGAAACAAGAGTAGGAGAGAGAGAGAGAGAGGAGAAAAGAGAGAGAGAGAGAGAGAGAGAGGAGGAGAGAGAGAGAGAGAGAGAGAGAGAGAGAGAGAGAGAGAGAGAGAGAGAGAGAAGAGAGAAAGAGAGAGAGGAAGAGAGAGAGAGAGAGAGTGATAGAGGCAGACAAATAGACAGAATCCGAGAGAGCGCGACAGAGCCCAGAAGGGAAACCTCGAGAGAAAGTCGTAACTCCTTGAAGACGCGGACGCCAGCGCCAAGAAAGTCCTTCCGCGCAACCCCATCTTCTCCTCCGGAGGCTGCCCGCCGTTCGGTCTGGGGGGAGGGGGGTTGGGGGGAGAGAAGGGGGAGGAAGGGGAAAGACATGCATGCACAAATACAGCACACACACATACACAACACGCAAATAACACACATATATAAATACATTTATAATATAATATATATGATTATATATATAGTATATATATATATTATATATAATATAATATGATATTATATACGTATTATGAATATATATTTATATCATATATATTATATTATATATTTATATTATATATATATATAAAGCTATATATATACTATATATAATAGTTATATTATATTAGCTGTCTATGGTCATGATGGCCACGTATACGATAACGACCTTGCTTGAAGAACGATGACATGTATAGTATTGCCATTTGGAGTTGTGGACGATATCGACTCTAGCTCCCCTTTAACTGCCATTAGCTACCGGTGCCGCCAGATATGATGATGAGGACGCGACGTCCCGGCGCGTAATTTCGTGAATGATACGCGTACTTTATCAGGACCGAGAGTCCAAGAATAAATAAGATCAAGCTGCCAGGGGATCAGGCGTCATGAGGGTCTGTGGTTCATTGTGGATTGTATCACAAGAGTTTCGAAGTGTTGATTCGAATTCAGTAGCGTCGAAGTGCTCGTTGCCTAGTTCACACGAGCGACCGACAGAAAAAAGGAACTTAGCTCGGAACACCCACGTCGCAGGAACAATATAAAGGATAGAGATTGAAGGAAGCGGAGGATGAAGAGACCTGTGGACGATAGCGGACTTGGAAGGAACGAATCCAATGAACTCATAACACAACGAATGACCGAGTGACCTAGGTCACCTACGTACAGCCTGTCGTATGAGTTTTGGCACGACTCTGTTCAGTATTATAGTGGCCGTCTTCTGGCTTATTCATCTAATGGGTTATACGTAATAATGATAGACAGGATGATGAATGATATGAAATTGAATAATACAATTGATATATAGTATAAGAATACAATGGCATGTATATATAGAATGATACTACTACTCAGTGTAGAATCTTCTAATAATAGTTAATAATTAATTGTGAACTCATAGATAAGAGAAGTAACTACTAACCAAACATGATCATGAGATCAAATGTGAAAATTAAGTACTTAATTTGATTAGGATGATAAGAAGTGTACTTTTTATAACATAAAAGATATACCATCTAGCTAGCATGATGAACGCTAGTGTCGACTAAAGTAGAGTGATAGATGGTGACACTTAAGTGTGGTGCAGTTCTGATGAGTCTGATACTAATTTTCGTGTTTAATTTATTATTTGATTTAGGAGAGAGGGAGAGGAAGGGAAGAATGGATGATAACAGGGAAGATAAGGGTAAGTCTGTGTATTTTTCTTCGTGAAAGTTTGACGGGGCTGTAGATTTGCTGCCGAGGAGGGAGGGGGGAGAGGGAGAGGAAGGAAGAAGGAGAGAGGGAGAGGAAGGAGGAAGGAGAGAGGGTAAAAGGAAGGAAGAAGGAGAAAGGGAGAAAGGGAAGCTGTGATTTCTTCGGAAAGTGACGGGGCGAGATTTGCGCCGAGGAGGGAGGGGGGAGAGGGAGAGGAGAGGAAGAAGGAAGGAAAGAGGGAGAGGAAGGAGGAAGGAGAGAGGGAAAGGAAGGAAGAAGGAGAAAGGGAGAAAGGGAAGCTGTGATTTCTTCGGAAAGTGACGGGGGCGAAGATTTTGCGCCGAGGAGGGAGGGGGAGAGGAGAGGAGGAAGGAGAGAGGGGAAGGATGGAGAAGGAGAGAAGGAGAGAGGGAAGGGAGAAGGAGGAAGAAGGGGGAGAAAAAGGGAAGCTGTGATTTCTTCGGAAAGTGACGGGGCGAGATTTGGCGACTCGAGGAGGGAGGGGGGAGAGGGAGAGGAAAGGAAGAGGAGAGAGGGAGAGGAAGGAGGAAGGAGAGAGGGAAGAAGGAGGAAGAAAGGAGAAAGGGAGAAAGGGAAGCTGCTGATTTTTCTTCGGAAAGTGACAGGTCGTGGAGGAGGGAGGACAGAGGGTATGAATGAAGCAGCGTAGATATATGTATATTATTTGGTCGCGCCGGGAGGGAGGGGGAGAGGAGAGAAGAGGGAATAAGGAGAGAGGGAGAGGAAGGGATAGACGAAAGGAAGGAGGAAAGNTTATTAGCATTTGCTCAATTTATGGAAACTAATGGCTGCAAAATATGTATGTACTGTGAACTCCCCAGGAGGTTTTATTCGCGAGGAGTATCTTCAGCCTGATATATATCAAATTAGAGAATTCTTCCAATAGTCCGATAGTTACGTTTAAGTACCCCCACCCCCCAACGATGCCTGTTTTAACCGTCGTATTGTGCGTTCAGGTGATAACCGCCGGCCCGCGACTATGCTGTTTAAAAACAAACAATAGAAACATAATGATATGTTTAATCATCGTTGATTTCTTCTTGTGATTCGTGGATACGGCAAGTAATGATGTGGGTAATTAGGGTGTAGTGTTTTATGTTCTTTTTATTATTAGTTAAATCTATATTACGCAGCGCCTGTGGTCTCCTTCTGGGTGCCCTGGGGTGACTTCGCTGGGTTTCCTTCTCGGGCCTTCTTCGGGCGACTTCCTGGGTCTCCTTCTTCGGGGCTCACTGGGGACTTCCTGGGTTTCGCTTCTCGGGCTCTTCGGGCCCTCCCTGGGTCTCCTTCTCGGATCAAGGGCGATTTCCTGGTTCCTTCTCGGGCTTCTTGGGCGACTTCCTGGGGTCTCCCTTCGGGGCTCGAGGGCGACTTCCTGGGTCTCTTCTCGGGCTCTTGGCGACTTCTGGGTCTCCTTCTCGCGGCTGGTGGGCGACTTCCTGGGTCTCCTTCTCGGGCTCTGGGCGACTTCCTGGGTCTCCTTCTCGGGCTCTTGGGCGACTTCCTGGGTCTCTTCTCGGGCTCTTGGGCGACTGTCCTGGGTCTCGCTTCTCGGGCTCTTCGGGACTTCCTGGGTCTCCTTCTCGGGCTCGAGGTGACTTCCTGGGTCTCTTCTCGGGCTCAAGGGCGACTTCCTGGGTCTCCTTCTCGGGCTCTTGGGCGACTTCCTGGGTCTCCTTCTCGGGCTCTTCGGGCGACTTCCTGGGTCTTCCTTCTCGGGCTCTTGGGCGACTTCTTGGGTCTCCTTTCTCGGGCTATTGGGCGACTTCTTGGGTCTCCTTTGGGCTCCTGGGCGACTTCCTGGGTCTCCTTCTCGGGCTCTTCGGCGACCTCCTGGGTCTCCTTCTCGGGCTCTTGGGCGACTTCCCAGGTCTCCTTCTCGGGCTCTTGGCGACTTCCTGGGTCTTCTTCTCGGCTCGAGGGCGACTTCCTGGGTCTCCTTCTCGGGCTCTTCGGCTTCCTGGGTCTCCTTCTTAGGCTTGAGGGCGACTTCCTGGGTCTCCTTCTCGGGTTCCTGGGAGACTCCCTGGGTCTCCTTCTCGGTCTCCTGGGCGACTTCTTGGGTCTCCTTCTCGGGCCTTTGGGCGACTTCCTGGGTCTCCCTTCTTCGCTCCTGGTCAACTTTCTGGGTCTCCTTCTCGGCTCTTCGGCGACTTCCTGGGTCTCTTCTCGGCTCTTGGCGACTTCCTGGGTCTCCTTCTCGGGCTCTTGGGCGACTTCCTGGGTCTCCTTCTCGGGCTCTCCGGCGACTTCCTGGGTCTCCTTCTCGGGCTCTGGCGACTCCTGGGGCTCGGCGAATTCCTGGGTCTCCTTCTCGGGCTCTTCGGCGATTTCCTGGGTCTCCTTCTCGGGCTCTTCGGCGACTTCCTGGGTCTCCTTCTCGGGCTCTTCGGCGACTTCCTGGGTCTCCTTCTCGGGCTCGAGGGCGACTTCCTGGGTCTCCTTCTTGGGCTTGAGGGCGACTTCCTGGGTCTCCTTCTCGGGTTCCTGGGAGACTCCCTGGGTCTCCTTCTCGGGCTCTTCGGCGACTCCCTGGGTCTCCTTCTCGGTCTCCTGGGCGACTCCCTGGGTCTCCTTCTCGGTCTCCTGGGCGACTCCCTGGGTCTCCTTCTTGACGACTCCTGAGCGACTTCCTGGGTCTCCTTCTGGGCTCTTCGTCGATTTCCTGGGTCTCCTTCTTGGGCTTGAGGGCGACTTCCTGGGTCTCCTTCTCGGGTTCCTGGGAGACTCCCTGGGTCTCCTTCTCGGGCTCCTGGGCGACTCCCTGGGTCTCCTTCTCGGTCTCCTGGGCGACTCCCTGGGTCTCCTTCTCGGTCTCCTGGGCGACTCCCTGGATCTCCTTCTCGGTCTCCTGGGCGACTCCCCGGGTCTCCTTCTCGGGCTCGAGGGCGACTCCCTGGGTTCCTTCTGAGCTCCTGGGCGACTTCTGGTCTCCTTCTCGGGCTCTTGGCGACTTCCCGGTCTCCTTCTTGAGCTCCTGGGCGACTTCCCGGGGTCTCCTTCTCGAGCTCCTGGGCGACTTCCCGGGTTCTCCTTCTCGAGCTCGAGGGCGAATTTCCCGGATCTCCTTCTCGAGCTCGAGGGGCCCGGATCTCCTTCTCGAGCTCATCCGGATCTCCTGCTCGAGCTCAAGGGCGACTTCCCGGATCTCCTGCTCGGCTTCAAGGGCGACATCCTGGGTCTCCTTCTCCTGCGAGCTTCCTGGGCGACTTCCTGGGTCTCCTTCTCGGGCTCTTGGGCGACTTCCTGGGTCTCCTTCTCGGGCTCGCGACTTCCTGGGTCACCTTTCTTGGGCTTGAGGGCGACTTCCTGGGTCTCCTTCTCGGGTTCCTGGGAGACTCCCTGGGTCTCCTTCTCGCCTCCTCGACTCGTCTCCTGGGGCGACTCCCTGGGTCTCCTCTCGGTCTCCTGGGCTCCTGACTCCTGGGTCTCCTTCTCGGGCTCGAGGGCGACTCCCGGGTCTCTTTCTTGACCCTGGGCGACTTCCCTGGTCTCCTTCTCGGGCTCGAGGGCGACTTCCTGGGTCTCCTTCTCGGCTTCGTCGATTCCTGGTCTCCTTCTTGGGCTTGAGGCGACTTCCTGGGTCTCCTGGGTCTCGGGTTCCTGGGAGACTCCCTGGGTCTCCTTCTCCGGTTCTCCTGGGCGACTCCCTGGGTCTCCTTCTCGGTGCTCTGGCGACTTCCCTGGGTCTCCTTCTCGGTCTCTTGGCGACTCCCCTGGGTCTCCTTCTCGGGCGACTCGAGGGCGACTCCCCGGGTCTCCTCTTGAGCTCCTGGGCGACGACTTCTGGAGCTCCTGGGCGACTTCCGGGTCTCGCTTCTCGAGCTCTGGGCGACTTCCCGGGTCTCCTTCTCGAGCTCAAGGGCGAATTTCCCAGATCTCCTTCTCGAGCTCGAGGGCGAATTCCCGGATCTCCTTCTCGAGCTCAAGGGGCGACTGTTCCCGGATCTCGCTGCTCAAGCTCAAGGGCGACTTCCCGGATCTCATGCTCGGGCTCAAAGGGCGACTTCCCTGGGTCTCCTTCTCGGGCTCCCTGGGCGAACTTCCTGGGTCTCCTTCTCGGGCTCTTGGCGACTTCCCTGGGTCTGGGGGGCTCCTGGGTCTTTCTTGGGCTTGGGGCGACTTCCTGGGTCTCCTTCTCGGCTCTTGGGCGATTTCCTGGGTCACCTTCTTGGGCTTGATTGCTGAATTTTTTTCGGAAGACTCCTGGTCTCCCTTCTCGGTCTCGCTGGGAGACTCCCTGGGTCTCCTTCTCGGTCTCCTGGGAAGACTCTTTGGGTCTCCTTCTCGTCTCCTGGGCGACTCCCCCTTCTCCTTCTCGGGCTCGAGGGCGACTCCCCGGGTCTCCTTCTTGAGCTCCTGGGCGACTTCCTGGGTCTCCTTACTCGGGCTTTTTCGTCGGCTTTCCTGGGTCTCCTTCTCGGGCCTCTTCGTCGACTTCCCTGGGTCTTTCTCCTCTTC